ACAGCAGCACCCAGCTCCCAGTCAGCTGCAGGCTGTAGACCTTGGGTGGCTTAGACAGTGCCTGCTTATGGAATTCTTCACGAAACAGACCCATCCACGTGCACGGATACAGCAAATAATGTGATTTAGTGGGGAAAAAAAACGAGAACAGTTCATTATAATAACTGTCGTCCAAATAATATTTGCAGAGATTTTATTTAAGCATGAATGTTTAGCTGTGTGCCATGGAACACTGTTATAAACCTATTTGAATCAAAAAAGCTCTATGAACTTCAAGATGCTATAAAATACTGAGATAAGGAATTGGTTGAGAGCCAAAGAAATATCTGTGCTTAGTTATGCAATTTACTAAATAATATATGTAGTAAAATGCTACTGCTTTTATAATTTAAAATAAAAAAGAAAGAAATGAAAAACTAGTTGTTCCTGGGTTTGCACTGGTTTACATAAGTGACGGTTACTGATTACATCACAATGAAACCACACATTAGGACTACAGCAGAGTCATGGATGGTGTAAAAACAAATGAGCAAGCAGGCAAATTATCATGTTTTATTCAATTGTTTTTCCTATACAAATGTTGGTAGAGGCCAGAGCAACGAGGAATGATCATTGACAAGGAAATGTCGACCAAAACAGTGTAATGCTGCCTCGCTAAGGGAGTGTTATTGTTCACAGTCTTAGATTTCTGTACTGCATTAAGAGTAATGAGGCGCTTCAGATCATAAAAATCTCTACAGTCTGTGAAGCAGCAACATGCCATAATGATACATCAACACCAACAAAGGCAGGCACGTAGACTGGGCTATTTTAGTGGTTTTTGTTGAGGAAAAGACACTAACAGTACTCCCCCCCCCCCCCCCCCCCCCGTAATGTTCCTCTTATCTTTCCACCTACAGTAAAAGGCTCAGAACAAATCACGCCTCTCATCTGCGGTTATTAGAGTGATTAATTATTATGTTGTTCCGCCTGTTTCTGCATAATTTTCTCACTAGTCGCCTGGTTCTCTAGCTCCTGCTTTCCATTTTTATTCATGCTAATCTCTTTTTCATGGTAACCTTTCTCATGTCATGATGCTAAGGGTTTGCACAATCGGCATAATTATATACCAATATAAATAGCAGCGTCGGAGCACACGACTCTAATGATCTGTCAGTACAGGCCAATCATGACCTGTATTATACTCTGACAGTATCCTTACTGAAAAAGTGAGGGAAAATTCAGGGGTGGAGGGGTGGAAGCTCATGTGGCACCCTAGGGAAGTTTCACCGCCCACAAACTTCCCTGTCCAGGGTGGAGATCCGTATATATTATCATGATGATGTCACAAAGGCACCATGGCAACAGAAGGCTGTTTATAAAACCCTAACATAAATTGGTGTCGGGAACCTTTTTAAACAAGTTAATGGAAAACCTTTGACAACTTAACTCATAAAAAAGCCAAAAGCTAAATAAACTTGGCACTTAACACAAAAACCTACTTATTTGAGTCACTTTATTTAAAGGCCGGTGAGGAAATCAGCCCGAAAATGGCCATCTGGTTTTGAATACCTGTGGTGTTGTTTTCAATTCCTAACTCTTCCTCTGCCCTCTGCATTTACCGGGGCTGGTGACTGATTACTATGGGAATTCAACACACCACCTAAACGGATCCTGTGCCGCCGCTACTCACACTGGTTCTGAAGAAAGCTCTGTTTTCGCGAGCCCCTCAATTTATTTTCCCCATGTTATATTTGCATATGTTATTAAATTTTAGACAAAATGCAAAAACTCATGAAATATTTCCTTCCGCAAACATTTCTGAATGATTATTGTTTTTCTTCATTACGCCAGGTTCAATTTCGCCAGTAATGTACCATAGTCGTGAGAAAAAGATTAGAAATTTTGAAAGGTTTACATCCGTAGTCCTCATTGTTTTGCCCACAATGTTACATTTCGTTCATTTAGTGGAACTGAATGCTAACATGTCACATAAGAAAGTCATTTCATGGCCATAAAATCCTTGGAATTGTATGAAAATGACAGACTCGCGCTATGCAAATCACTGCGTTAGGCCGTAAGAAGGAATGGAAAAGAAAATAGGTGGAAATGCTAAAGCAAAACAAGTACAATTATTAATTGAAGCTGTATGTAGCCATGGAAGTTATGTGGCACCACGGCATAGAATTTCCAACAATTTTGCTTATTTTCTTATGCTGAATTCTGGCGTCTCTTTCTGTGGATTACAGTGGTGCACAAGCAAGATGGAATCAGGGACACAGAAGCCCACCACGCAAACCGCCAGGATAAAACAGCGCTTTAAGTTACACGTCACAAGAACGTCGTAGGAGGTGGTAAGGGAAAATTTAGCTGAAAGGTGCCAGTGTGCTGAATCACATCAGGCCGTGAACGACAAGCCGGCAGGACTCCAAGACTTAATTAGCCCGCCGTTTGCTTCTTAAGCCCAGTTCGCTCCATTAAAACTCAATTAAAATGTTCACAGAAACCGACCTGTTGTTATTGTATGATCAATTCAACTCTGGCTCAGTGATGCCAGGGCAATACAAGGCAAGGCAAGTTTATTTATATAGCACAATTCAGGCACAGGGCAATTCAAAGTGCTTTAAAAAGTCAGAAGACATTAAAATCATATTTAAAATAATAATTTAAAAAACCTAAAAGGCAAATGGTTAACTGAAAAGAAAGTATATTGTAGTGATAGTGTATGACTTAACTTCTTAAATTTATTGAAAATGTGTAGAAAACTGTAATGTTTTAAGCCCTGATTTAAATGAGCTATAGACTTCCTAAATTCTTGCAATTTGATGTTCTGCCCTTTGGGTTAAATTAGGTGACCTGTTCTACTACGCTGTAGCCTTGACATTTCCAGCCATGTTATGTGTCGAGCAATGTCACATATCCTGCGGAAAAACTAACCGTCTCGAGCAAACTGTGACTCACATTCCACGCATCGCTCCGGCACGGATACGCGATCGCTTTCCGCATTCCAATCTGCGCTTGCATCAGAACTCACTGCATTTGGAGACGTGTCAGACAGACATTTCATTTGCGTACTTGTTAGCATTTTGGACTGATACGGATGCCCTATGCAGTGTTACATTCTAACAGAAAAAAGAATACTGTGCAGCTACAGCTGATTTTACATTTGGGGACACCATTCCCTCCTTGAAAAACATATTCAAAAGGTGTTTGGGATCTCGGATCCCGAAGGAACCAGGATAAAATGCCCCAAAAGTGCAGCTGCCTCCAGCGTTTCCCATCTATTTGGACCATGGATGAAGCTTCCAATGCTCTAGTATCACGTCTGGAGCACGAGTGCAGGGAAGAGAAGCGGTCAGAACATAACTTTGGATTCTTCCAATTTCCAATGTATTATTTGGGAGACCAGCCAAACAAGAGATAGAAGGTTTGCGAACACAAATACCACTGAACCATAGCTTGATCTAGCCAGCACACTCTCAGCAGTGATTTCATCAAGACTCAGTAACTGGGGAATGGAGACATAAATACCCCCCCCCCCCAGGTATACATAATAGTTATTTGACTAACTGACACACCACCCTCCCTGATCCACAGCAGTGGGCTGGCGATAGTCACCCAGTGCAATCCCAACCCTGCTATTTATTGCCACCTCTACAACAACAAGATCTAAATGATGTCCATGTTCATTCCGACTGAATCCCAAGGCAGATGAACAACTGCACCTTATGTCTGCATCTCAACATTGTTTATTCGTTTTTAGATTCCATTTTAATGCTTTGAAATGGTAGCTGTGAATGCATCTGTAGCTTTGTGGATTTAGGGCTGCTGCCCTTCAGTATAGTTGTCAGTCTTATCTGCAACAAACCTGCTACGTTGCACAAAGATTCACAGTAATGTGCACCGCAAATTATCAGGAGAAACACACATAAACTGGGCTGTGGGAGACCGGAAAACAAAGATTCAAGCAAATAAATCTAATAATTAAATTGTAGCTGGATAGAGTAGCTTCATATCACACATGGCCTCGGGGCGACCCCTGCCTTTACACAGAGCAGTGCTGCGCATGCCAAGATCTGGGAGATTTTGGGGAGATTTAGCACCAACTGGGGACAGCTGCTCCGCTTTCGTGTTTCCGCAGCTCAGCCGCTACTCGTCAAACATCCTCTCCCTCAAATACTGATGGAGACACGGAACAGAAAGACAGGCACAAGAAACCACACAAAGCTGGCTAAGGACATGGTTAACCACATTGTTCGCAAAACACGTTGAAAACGAATGCTTAAATCGAAAGACTTCTGTGTTAATTTACTCTGCTCCCATCAGCTGAGAGTGATGGCGTGTAATCGGATCAAAGACTTTCTGAACATGACACCACGTGTCGCACCCATGTCGCCTGAGACTTAATTAAAGCCGTAAGTCGTGGGCTCTGTGTAATGAACGGTGAGCTTTGTCTCATGGCTCCCAGATCATGGGATCTTGTGGTCCCAACCCATATGTCTCCTGCTCATCGTTGTAGCTTCATAGAAGAATCTGTAGAACCTCTCTCTTACTGTTTTGGTTCAGGTTCCCCTCCGGTTGCACCAACCGTCCGCACTTGAGTCCTCTTCCTGCACACATCCTTCCAGAACCTTCTGTTCAGTAAATGGCTCCAACTCAGTAAAGTTACTGGTTTTCTGCTTTGTCCTGTCCAATGGACTCGGGGACCAGAGGGCAGAAAATCCAGCAGTACGGGAGATATGTCCAGTTCAGTCTGGGATATGTTACATCTGTTTCTCTCTTGACCTTATGTGATAAAATGCATTTCAGTGACGCCCTTGGATCCGATCCTGACAATGTGCTGTTAAGAGGCAAATACATCCCCTGTCTGCTTCTCTGACCTAAATGTCAACTAAAAATCTTACGGCTTTTCTCGTCAGACATCTTGCCACAAAGGAAAAAGGCGACAAAACCTGGTAGCATGAACTCCATTATAAAGAGGTGTCTCTTTCTCTGTCTCTCTCTCTCTGTCATTCCTGCAGGTACTTTTGGAGACCATACCAGCAGTTAGTTTTTGCGTATCAATTTCCTGTATTTCAGAAGAGCAGCGCAAAGAAGTAAATATCTCAGCAGGTATATACTGTAAAAGCTCTAATATCTCTCTAACACAGACGTGGGATTCCATGACAGAGGAATTAAACTAAAAGGTATAGAGCACCAATCACGTAAATGCATCTCAGATGTACTCAGTCAGGCAGAAAAGGTGTGACGAATGTAAGATGACTGGGCACAAGTAAAATTGGTGTGGGAAGAGAAGTGACATAATGGCAACCAGACAGGGGTGACGGAAGGAAATGACACAAACTACATAACGAAATAATGTCTGGTCCATAAAGCAACATTATCCCCAGACAAATAGATGGGGCATGTCTGTTTCCTGCACATAGGTCTGAAAGCGTCCTCTCAGCTGGACGTGGGACATTTTCGTCCTGTGACAGATGGGGCCGGCTATTGGAGGGGGCGCGGGAGGGGCTGACACTGTGCTTAAACCAGGAAGCCCACCCCATCCCATTGACGTCTTTTTCCAGAGGGGGCCAGGTAACCTGTTCCGTCCATCTTGACCACAAGCCATCAAGGGGGCACCTGTTTTGGCCCGAGGACTCGTGGAAAGTTCCGATTCCCGACACCGGCCAATCCCGCTGGTCGCATCCCCCCGCCCTCCGGCAGAATTCGGAGAAGAATCATCCCCGAAGCTCAGGTGTGTATGAGTGAAAAGCACCAGGGCTGCTTATGAGGTCTCAGACAGAATGTAACGGATCAAGAGAGACCTTAATGGTAACAATGGCAATCGGTACAAGCTTACAGCAAGGAATCCTGACACATACAGGGAAATATATAAAACATAATTATAAAAACATATTAGTCACGAATGAGACGGACAAGCCGAATAATATAAACGAACACAAACAAAACTACAGTATTTACGATGCTTTACTATTGAATGTGGTTACAAGAGTAACACCTACACAAAAATAACATACCCGTGTACACATAACGTGATATACTGGTTGTGATATTTCATTGTAATCAAAATGTAACGTACCAACTATAGGTGACGAAGGAAGGGTTATGATTAGGGTGTGGTACTGTTTGTCGACATTTTTGCATTTCCTTAAATGCTCAAGAGGCCACAGAACAAGAATCGTTATTATGAATGATACATTTGTCTTTTCAAAAGTGCCCATTTGGGCATTTGTTTGGTTACTGAACACATACACTTATGATAAAGAGTCTTACACTGAAATGTCTCACTGACACTCTAACTGGTCTCAGCTGAGTGATCAATGATCTTCACACAAACACTAATCCCATAAATAATATTCTATGGTCCAGAAGACATTGTATGACAAAGTTACTCAGCCCTGAAACTCCAGAATCTTCTAGGTGTTTCACCAACCCCAACTCTTAATTGCCTTATTCCATAAATTACTTGGGTAGTGAGTTTGACCCCCCCCCCCCACCCCCATTGCAGTCAGCATCTATTAGTTGTCTATTAAAATACTCTGTAAAACCCACAGGTTTGCACTCTTGTGGCCCTGAGCTGTCCAACCCTCTGTAGCTCTGCTTATCACAGAACTGGCAGCTTTGTGAAATGAATACATTGTATGTGTTTGGCATTACACCAGACTCCCAGGGCTGGGGAATTCATTTACGCTGGATTTAAAATGATTAAATTACTATATGCGCTGGTTTGAGCTGGAGCAGTAAACAGTGATGAAAGGTCCTTTAAGCCTTGGGGACCTCAAACAGTCGCAGGAGTAACAGAGTCTGACAAAATCCCAAATATCAATTTAACTATTTTTACCTGTCGCATTGAAAATCACGATTGTTTTTTTGCTTATAAAATATACTTAGAAGTCTTTAAATATAGTAATAAACCTAATCCCCACATCCAAAAGTGTCAGAATGTCTCAAAAAGAAATAAACAAATAAACAAAAATAATAGTAAAATAAAACATACTGCACAAATACTAATGATCTTATGGCCCCCTATTGTTAGCCATTTATAAAGTAACATGAGATTCTAAATGAATGTGACATGAATAACAGTGAAATTTACAATGTTATTTTGTGTGCAGTTACCAATTTCGGACAACTGCCATTTTCTATTGCACAATTTCCCCCTTATATGAATGTAGAGTAAAGGAAAAGAAGTCTTCTTCTGCAGCATTTCCATAAATATTTCACAGACTTTGCTCGGGTTATTGGCACATATGAGATTATTGGTCTGTTTTAGATTCAGTTATTTTGTAGAGCGGACCCAAACAAACCACAAAGCCTGGCTACCTTATTCACATTCTTAAAGGAAACAGATAAAAAAGCTGAAAAAAAATAGCATAGAAACTCAACACGCGCCCCCATGTGCTTGATACAGTAACAGCGGGGGGGACTGTTGACTTCCTGGTGCCTCAGGTTGGGGGCGGGGTTAAAGTGCAGCTGTTGCCAGGGAGAATGTAATGAGCTGTGTAGGATGGGCTTTTAAGCAGATGGGAAAAGGACAGCGGAGAGATGAAGGACATGACTCTCTCTCTCTCTGGGCTGCAGTAGGTGGGTTGAGGGGACCTGCAGGAGCTCAGGCACGGACTCTGTCTCTTAGCCCTGTCTGCTCAGCAGGTGTGGAAGAAGCTACCCATTCATCACGATGTGCTATTATATGATCTCTGCCACCCTGTGCTGGGAGGGCGCGGAATGCGTGACCTCAGATAACCTCTTGGTTTGCGACCGTGTCCGTGCATTGCCTTCACACCTGTATGGAAGCTCCCTCTGATGGAGTAGGACTTGGCCCAGTGTTCGCCTCTGTAGGCTTCCTGGGTTAGACTGCATCACGCCTGGACAGGTGGTTAATGGAATTGATCAATGGACAGACTGGACCATCTAAAACACGGTAAAATGCAGTACATTGGCCCAATATACACATTTTTGTGCTACTGTATGCAGAAAAAGAACATTTCCTTGTGTAACATTGGATAAGGACAGTGCTATTTCAGATCTGGATTATAAGAGAGGAGATTCAGATCTGTAAGGTTTGGGGTAAGGGTGCAGGTTTGCTTTCAAAGTGGTAGGGTCTATATCAGCCCCGAACTCCCCCTAAACACACATGGTATGCCCACAATGTTGATAGGGACATGCCCCTGTCATCTAAACCTAAATCCCATGGGCTTTTTCCAGGCAGTATGGGTTCCTCCTGCAGTCCAAAGCCACGCAGTGAGGTGTCTCTAAATCTGCTCATAGTGCATGACTGTGCATGAGTGTTTGTGTACATGCCCCGCCCTTGGGCACCATGCTGCCTGGGGCCTCCCTGTATCCCTGTCAAGGATAAGCAGTTGGAAGACAGATGCATTATGGGAAGGGTAGCCTTTACTGAGCACCACGATAGGTAGCAGTGGTGCCTCCGCTCTGTGTGCGTGGAGTTTTGCACGTTCATCGCGAACCACGTGGGCTTCCGCTGGATTCGCAAGTTTCCTCCCAGAGTCCAAAGACATGCAGTTAGGCTAATTGGTGCTAAGTTGCCTGTAGTGAATGACCGTGTGCGTGTGTGTGTGTGTGTGTGTCCTGCGATAGATCAGCATCCCGGTTAGGGTGTCCCCTAGCCTCATGACAAACGGCACCTTCACAAGAACAGAGGCAGGCCCCAAATCATGCAACGATTGCTTGTGGTGTGGTGATGTAAACGCCGCCCCAGAAATTCTAAGTCCTCCCCTAAATAGCTTTCCTGCTCTGGGCTGTAAACATCGAGAGTTTCTGAAATTCAAGTTATGGTAACGACTCCAGAGAGGTGGGGAGAACTGAGGACAGTGGAAGCTTGGTGTGGTGGTAAGTGAGAGAGCAGAAACTCGTTAAAGCGCAGCCGTGGTGACAGGTTGTGGTAAGACTCTGCTGGATTATACGGTGATAAATGCGTATATGTAAAGAGATCAGGGAGGGAATTATACAAATATTGAACAGAACTCGATGTTCTCCACGCATTCGCTTATTAATCTTTCAGAAGCATCTGAATATTTTTCACAGCATCCGATCCCAAAATATCCCCTTTAAAGAAAAATTGTGAAAGTAATTAAAAATAAATAAATAAAAAATGCAAAGCATCCAAGGCAACGAATATCTGCTGATGCTACAGAAACACACTGATTGAGCAAGATTTTCACTGTGGTGGGGGGGGGGGGGATTAAAGAAAAAAATAAAACCCTTCCAACAAACACTCGAAATCGAGCACTCATTAAATTTTTAATGTATAGAAGATACCGTCAAATTTCATGGGCTGGTGATATGAAGCTTTGCTGTTTGTGGAGAGTTCTCTCATTAAAACTGCATAATCATACATAAAAGATGCATTAAAAATATTTATATTTAGCCAGAGGGCTTGAAGCGAAGCGTTCTCGACAACATCGGCGGGCATTTAAGGCGGAGGTCCGGGGGTCCCAGACTGCATCAGGCAGAGGTATTAACCTGCCTTGCATAATCTGTTTCATCAGAAGTCACATGTGTGAGTCTGGTGAAGTTTAATGCTGGTGGGAAAAGCATCCTCTTTGGGTCCTTGAACCTTATTTGTGAAAATTTAAGGTAGAAAGATGAGAAAATACAAATATGAGAATTTACCGGTGCTTTTGAGCACATTTATGGCAAAACTTTTTCATTTGGAGGTGTTTGGGTCACACGAGAATGACAAGCACCAAGTGAAAAGATAGGAGGAAGGAACACAAGCTCGAAGAGATCCATTATTACACAATCATGTATGTCAGACGTTAAACAATCTGGCGATAAAGTACTATGGTGCAGATGCATGCAGTGGAGTAAAAATCTCAAAAGATACTGACACATGAAAGGAATAAAATGGCCGTCAGACATGAACAGAAACACAAAGGCAAAATGTTTGATCATTATTTATAAGGACTGGAAATGGAAAGCAGGCCATAACTAATGTACACACAGAAAGCTGTATAAATTACTCTACTGTACCTGTCATTCTATGCATAAATCACAAAATCACGTGATTGCCTTACGAAATAACTTCCAGACACCTCAGGGTATGTTGCATACCTTGCATACGTTTCTCCTAAATGAGGTTCATGCTACAGATTCACCTCTTTGACAAAAACACTTCATTTGAGAAGATTAATTTGGGTCTAAAGGACCTCCGAGGGGCTAAGCCGATGTTGAGGGCTGTGATCTGAAAGGCAGTGGGGAAGGTGTCTGTATGTTCTGAGGTTACCCGACTGCAGCTTCAGAGCGCATTTCCTGCGGCATCGATCACAGCTGCATGGTAATCACCTGATTTCTCAATCAGCCGCTGCGCAGATCCGTATTTAAAGTTGCCGAATGGAGCACCTGCATAAAATACCTGGCCTGTGGTCGGCAAATCTTACGTTTGGAGATTTTACCATTTCACACACTTGGTTACTCTTATAGAGGCGAATTATGTTGAGCACATTGCCCACGGATGTAATCAGGGCCTGAGGCATAAGCGAACTAAGCAGAGGCTTACAGCCCAATGGCCAAAAGGGCCGCCCCCATCTGATCAGCCTGACAGACTGCAAAGATAACAAATAAGAAATAGGTTAATCAAATTTTGCTTAGGGCCCCGAAAGGGGGTGGACTGGTCTTGAATGCAATAGCAAGTCCCTGTCCAAACTGCTTAGCCATAACCTTTACCTTCTATGGCAGGGGTGCCCAACTCCAGTCCTGGGGGGGCGGAGCCCT